GTAGAACTGCCTCAGCTGCGCGGCGTCGGCCCCGGGGCGCGCCCAGCCCGCCCAGCTGGCGCTCAGGACCACCAGGACCCAGAGGCGCGGGCAGCCCCGGGCCATGCTACCTTTCCGGCTCCCGCCGGCTGCCGCTGCGCCAGGACCCGGGAGGGCGCCGCCGCCCGACTCTGCCAGGGCTGTCCCGGCTGCAGTGAGCTCCACAGGCTGCGGGTGGCGGCGTCCTCCACCCTGGCAGCTCCTGCAGACTCCGCAGCGGCCGCCTCCGGCTCCCCTCCCTCCTCTCTTGCTAGGCCGTTTCTGGGCGGGGGCTTGGTGAGGTCACTGCTCCCGGGTGACAGCAGGTATTAGGGAGAGCAACCAGATTAATGACTGCTTTGCTGCAGGTGAAGAAAGCGCAGAGATCCGAGGCTCTGGAAGGCGGGACAAGGCCCCGGGATTCCTGAGCCGGACAAAACTGTTATTCTAGCACCCCTGGAGCAGCAGTCCCTCCGCCCACGCAAAGCCCGCCCGGGTCAAAGTTCACACTCGCCAGACCTTTGCAAGAGCCCGTGTGCGAGGCGACCCGCTGTTAACCCGCTGACTCTCCTGATCTGAGGAAAGGGGCATTTGGGCATGAAACTCTGTATTTTCAGGTGGAGAAAAAGCAGGAGAAAGGGTACATAAATAAGGCCTACTGCTCTGAGTCACTTTACTGCTTCTACCAAGGCACAGTCCTGTCTTGATAAAGGCCTGCGGCGGGCTAAGTGCCTCATAGCAGAAGGTTTAAAGAGTTTGACTGAGAACGTGAATTGTCCAGATTTCAGTTCCACTTACTAGCTGTGATGACTTGGGCAAGTTACTCTCTCTGTTCATTTTGAACATCTGCAAAACAGGGATGATAATAATAACTTATAGGTTTGTTAGGAGGATAAGCAGATACTGTAAACTGTATAATTCCGGCACCTAGAATGCACACAGTACCTATGCCGTACTATGATTATGTTTTCCTGCCTTCAGGCCCCTTATATTTCTTGCAAGATTTGACTGTTCCACACCGCCTTAAACCTTACTCTGATGTTGACAGAAGATTTGAGAATGATATTGTCTGGAGCATCACTGTGACTGGTCCTGGGTTCCCTGGATCTGCATGCCTCCAAGTTTCAGTCTTGTTATTTATGCATTCAGTGCATGCAGTACATTGTAACTGGCATCTCATGTGAGGCCTCCAGTAATGACATCAGGCTCATCAATAGCCCTGCCCCTACAATTCCTCTCTTTGCTCCTTTGCTGATATTTTCCCACCCACTTGGAATGCCCACTCTCTTCCTCTTTGCTGGACCATTCTTTACAGTCCAGAGTTCTACCTGTCTCCTTGGGTTCAAATGGACTTTTCCACTTGATGAACTCCTCCAATGCTGTTCAAAGTGTATACTTATGTTGATTACCCTTTATTATTCTGTCAATTTTCTTCCCAGTCAGATTATATTATTCAAGAGCAGCCGGGCTCGGTGGCTCAGCTGTAATCCTGCGCCTTTGGGAAGCTGAGGTGAGTGGATTGCCTGAGTCCGTGGGTTTGAGACCTGCCTGGGCAGCCTGGCGAGACCTCATCTCTACAATAAAATCAAAAAAATTAGCCGGGCGTGGTAGTACATGCCTGTAGTTCCAGCTACTTGGAAGGCTGAGGCGGAAGGATCGCTGGAGCCCAG